CAGGCTTTATTTAAGAAGATGCAGATGATTTCTGTAAAATTTCCATTGCAAAATGGTTAAAATTAAGTTTTGAGGTTTAAAGAAGTTAGACTGTACCTTACCTGGCCAGAATATGAAATCATCATCCACAGGTTTTACTGATAACTAAGGTATTAGAGTATATTTTTATAAAATATATTGAAGGTTTGTTTTTAGATCTAAGGTTATATGTTTTATTGGTTGTGTTTTGTTCGGTTTGATCAAAAGTTGTCTTTTCTGGGCTTCCCTGGTGGCGCAGTGGTTGAGGGTCCACCTGCCGATGCAGGGGACACAGGTTCGCGCCCTAGTCCGGGAAGATCCCACATGCCACGGAGCGGCTGGGCCCGTGAGCCATGGCCACTGAGCCTGCGCATCCAGAGCCTGTGCTCTGCAATGGGAGAGGCCACAACAGTGAGAGGCCCACGTACCACAGGAAAAAAAAAAAAAAGTTTTCTTTTCATTCAAAATGTCATATGTTATCAACTACTGATCTACCTTTATTCAGGGGTCTTTATAAGATGTCTACTGTTAAACTTCAATATTTTCATTTGGTTATTACAAGATGTTTTTAGAAGTATTTTCATGACATTTTGAGTTCAAGTTAAATTATGGAGTTTTACTCTATGTGTATATAATGAAAATATATAAACTCTATGTACAACATTATATTTACTTTTTTAATCTCCACGTTCTAAAATTCAGGTCCCAAGTCATTTGCAAAGGCATTTTCCAATGGCTATCTAATTGGAGAAGTGTTGCACAAGTTTGCACTTCAGGATGATTTTGCAGAATTTTCAGAAAGCAGGTTAGTGAGATTATTCCTTACTTTAAAAAAGGTCAATTCCTTTGGCATTTGGATGGTTTTAGCCCAAAGTTAACATTAAAGAATCATTTACCACAAGATTCCTCTAAACCAGCCAAGCATCCATTGGTATGGAAATTGCTGCTTCCTCACATATACATACTTCATTGTCCCAGGAGTACAAAGGAGAGAAAGTTATAAGGTTGCAGCAAGCCCTCATCTCTAGATGGGCCCCATTTTAATATCTTGTGTATTCCTGCAGTCCTGTGTTTTATCAAATTTGTGAAGCTTTCGCCCATCATTTCTCCAAAAGTTCTTTCTGCCCATTTCTTTCTCTTCTCCTTCTGGGACTCCCACTACGTGTATGTTGGTGTACTTGACAGTATCCCACAGGTCTCTGAGGCTTTGTTGATTTTTAAAAACAAACTTCTTATTTTGAACAGTTTTAGATTTACAGAAAAATTGCAAAGATAGTACAGAGAGTTCCCATGTTGTTCACATCCATTTCCCCCTACTGCTACAATCTTATATTCGTATGGTACATTTTGTACCAAAGATTTGTTATAATTTTTATCTAATGTGTTTTTTGTTCCAGTATCTCATCAGGATACCACATTATATTTTATAGCCATGTCTCCTTAGATTCTTCTTGGCTGAGATACTTTCTCAGACTTTCCTTGTTCTTGATAATCTTTACAGTTTAGAAAAATTAATAACTGGTCAGGTATTTTGTACATTGCTCCTCCGCTGGAATTTGTCAGATATTTTTTCTCATGATTAGAATGAGCTTATGTGTTTTGAGATTCTGTTCACTTTTCTTCATTCTTTTTCCTTTCTGTTTCTCCTATAAATAATTTCAGTTGATCTATCTATGAGTGTGCCAATTCTTTCTTCTGACAACTCAAATCTCCTGTTGAGCTATTCTAGTGAATTTTTACATTTCAGTTATTGTACTTTTCAACCTTAGAATTCCACTTGGTTCTTATTTTTATAATTTCGATTTCCTTATTGGTATTCTATTTTTGTTGAGATGTTGTTCTCATACTTTCTTTTTTAATGGTTAAAAAATGGATTGTTTTAGTTCTTTTAACATTTATAATAGCTGACTTAAGGTCTTTGTCTAATAAATTCAGCATCTGGGCTTCCTCAGAGAGTTTCTATTGAGCTTTTTTCCCCCCTATATATAGACCATACTTTCCTTTTTCTCTGTATGTCTCATAATTGTTGAAAATAGACATTTAAAATAATACAAGTTAACTCAGATTATCCCACCTTCCCAAGGTTTGTTGTTGCTGCTGCTTCTTGTTTGTTTAATGACTCTCTTGGGCTAATTTTGGAAAGTCTGTATTCCATGTTGTGTACAGCAGCTGAAGACTCTGCTTGGTTAGCTCAGTGAATAGAGCAAATGAACAGAGCTCAGAAAATGAACAGAGATATTTTAAAATATCTTAAAGATATTTTAAGATATCTTAAACTGATAAATCTTTCCTGACTGAGAGACTGTGAGTATGTTAAGGTGTCTCCAATGCTTTCACAGTTTACAACCCTGCCTTAGTCTTTACTTCCTGCTTATACAGGACCTCAAGATCAGCTAGAGGTGAGAGATTTGGGCCTCCTTCTGTCTTTCCTGCTTATCCAAACATTCCTACACATGCATATGGCCCTCTAGATCTCCAGGAATATATATATTATATTAATATATTATATCTTCCTTTTAAGTTTTTGGGTAGGCTCTTATTTGCTTCAGTGGTATCACTGCCTTAGGTAGCTGTGATCTTAAACAATTGCCACTGATTGTTTTTCACTAATACCCTGGGAATAAGTCTTTTTTCAGTGATTGAGCTCTAAAAGATATCAAATAATGACAATGTCCTGAGGATAGGACTTTTTGAGAAGGTTGAAACCTGTTTGTCCTCTCTGATGACTGCTAGGCTGCTGGTTTTTACAGCTCCTATTGTTGCAAGGCTACTGTAGAGCTGGGGAGAAGGGAATGGGAATAGTGCAAGTTAAAACGATCAAAAGCTCTCTGTTTTAACTGAGATTAAGTTTTTTCTTAAATAAATGTTTCTTGGATAATTTCTGGAGTTATGAAAAAGTTGATTTTCATAATTTTTGTCAGTTTTATTATTGCCTTTATGGAGGAATGGATTTTTGGAGGTCCTTGCTCTACCATTCCTGACATCCTGCTCCCTCTCCATGTTTTAACCTGATATTTTCCACTCAAGTATTTCTTAGTTTTTGGTTGCTTGGAATAGTAGGCTTCCATTGAGCAGTACGTATGTTGCAAGACTTTAAGGCAAAAGAATCTGGTACCTCCATTCTAGAGGTGAGTCATTCTTTCACAATCCAGATTATGCTAGTTGTACAGGTAATAATAGTATAATACAAGAGGAGCCATGGATTGGAAATACATTTTCTGCCAAATAAGCCTCTGTTGCTAATCCCAGACAATTTCTTAAGCTTCTAGGGTACTGGGTAACATTCTAATACATACCCTACACCCCATGTCTCACATCTCTTCCTCAAGGGCAAGGGATACTCGGTCCTTCACAGCTTAGCCCCAACTGCCTCCTCTTCCTGAGCTCCTAGCCGTGTGCCCACCCTGCTTCTATCTTAATTTCCTCCCCTCCAATGGAAGCCAGGATCAGCCTCTAAGGTATAAGATTTCCAGGGTAGCTAGCTAAGTCAGTGTCTATGCCCTTCTTTTCTCCTTTTGCTTTCTCACAAGTTCTCATATGACCAGATTGATTTGTGATGGTCTGCACGTAACCAGGTTTCCAATCCTTTTGTGTTGTTGCTGCTTATTATCCCTTTATGAAAGTTATAAAGTTATCTTGTACATTTACTTATTATAACACTGGTCACTTTGTTGTCAGTTTCTTTTTTTGTGTCTCTTTCACGTTGCACATTGTACATTCAAGTGCCTTAAAGTTATGGGTATGAGTTACTTTTCTTTGCATCCCCAGGGCCATCACAGGCCTGGCACATGTTTAGCTTTCAGTAAATGTTTTTTGAATTAATGAATGGCTGCATATCCTGATAAATCCTGCATTTAGACACCTTGTTTGAACTTCTCCATAGGCAGATAGAGCTCTACACCCACATTTTTAAGTGTGGTTTCCCATCAGCTTAAGAAACTTTAGATATTCCAGTTTCTGTTTCTCAAGGCCTGTCTTACAAAATGCTTCCCTGTGTGACCCTCATCCACCTTTCCAGCCACATTTTCCACCGGTCTGGAGCCCTAACATAAACTGCTTTGGTCCACAAACACATCATGTGTTTTTGTTATGCCTTGCAACTTTGCATATTAACATTTGTCCTTCACTTCCACCATGAGAAACTTTTATTCATCCTTAAGATCCAGCTAAAAATCCACCCCTTCTCTAAACTGTGTTTGGTCCCCTAGCAGATTTAATTTTCTTTTCCTCTTTGTTTTTATTTTTTTTCTCATTGTTTTAATAACACTTTGGATATCCCTTTTTTTTAATCACATTAAGTTATAATTGTTTATTTATATGTCATTTCTTATCAGAGTTACTGCCACGTGAAGGAGCCCAAATAATGTTTGATAATGAATATATGAATGTTTACTCGTTAACTAGATTGCAAAGTTGCTCAAAGTTGCATAGTGTGTTTATTCTCTGTGCTCCAGGCATTGTCCCTGGACCATAGCAGGCACACAATAATGTTTCTCTATTAAATAAATGAATGATTTCAGAAAGCATATCTGGTTCAGTACAGAAAACTTAAAGAACCATACTGATCAGATCATGCGTGCAGTATTTCACATGTACTAGGTTGGCTCTTGTTAGCCAGGCCATGGAAGGCCTTTGTGTGAAATGGAGATAGGGACCCCATATGGATGGAGGTAACGGTGAAGACACAGGTCTTAGTGAACAGAGAGACCTCTGTGCAAAGTAAAAGAAGCCCCTTTTTGGATAGAACAACCTCATGCCAGGTATTGCCCCGCCCCTGCACAGGAGTGTGCCCTGAGTATTATCATGTGTAGCAGTCCTGCCTTTCACTCACTGCAAAGGACTCACTTTCTGTTCCACTGAGTCATTACCTCTCTTAACATGGGGAGAGGGACTTACTTGTCCTGACAACCAAATCTTTAGTTCCTGGAACAACCCACATTTTTTCCAGGGCACATGGTATTTTAAAGAAGGCAAGAATTAGTAAATCTGTGGATATGACCTTTGTAATAGTGTATTTAGTGGGGAAAAGGACCCTTCTTTTTTTTTTTTTTTTTTTTCTGTACGCGGGCCTCTCACTGTTGTAGCCTCTCCCGTTGCGGAGCACAGGCTCTGGATGCGCAGGCTCAGCG